GCTGAAAGGCCTTTGTTCTGGCACAGACCGTCTGCCATCTGCTCTCACCAGCTGCCCAGTAGGTGTCTGGGAAGGATAGTCCTAGGAAAGGATTCAGTTGAAGGCATGGCCACTGTCACGTCAGAAGCTGCTGCGGGCCCACAGCATACTGTGAGCTCCATTGTGGCCACACAGGTTCTCAGAAGAGCCAGTACTGTCTTCCCTAGAGTCCTTCTGACTGACTTTGGACCAGAATGGGTGGAAGCAGGTAGACCCCAATGCATATCCAGCCAGCGTGGCCCCAAGAGCTGTTGGCTTGGCCAGCTAGCTCATGCAGTGGCGGAAGTCCATGACATGTGTGCATCTCATCCTCCCAGATGGTAGCTGACATGCGGGAGAAACGCTACGTTCAGGAGGGCATTGGCAGCAGCTACCTTTTCCGGGTGGATCACGATACCATCATTGATGCCACCAAGTGTGGCAACCTCGCCAGGTTCATCAACCACTGCTGCACGGTGCGCTCAGGGCTGGGCCAGGGCTGGGCTGGGCAGGGGTGAGGTGGGGCTGCGGCTTACACTGCCCCTCCTGCAGCCCAACTGCTACGCTAAGGTGATCACCATCGAGTCTCAGAAGAAGATTGTGATCTACTCCAAGCAGCCCATTGGCGTGGATGAGGAGATCACCTACGACTACAAGTTCCCACTGGAAGACAACAAGATCCCGTGTCTGTGCGGCACCGAAAGCTGCCGTGGCTCCCTCAACTGAGGTGGGGCAGGACTGGTGCCCTCACCCCTATTTATTCCCCCTTGGTGCCCTAAGCTCCCAGCACCCCCAGCCTTAGTGGGCTCAGCAGGGTCCACATGCCCCCATCTCCACATGTGGGATAGGGGCCCTGAGCCCAGCAAGGGAGCCTCAGTCCTTTGAGGTAACTTTTGACTCCCCTGTACCCCATGCCCAACCACCCTCTTAATTTTTTTTTCTTTGCGGAGAAGAAGCTGTAAATGTTTTGTAGCTGCCAGCAGCTGTTTCCTGTGGAAACCTGGGGTACCAGCCTGTATAGATGCTATTCTTGGGGGCTAAATAGCCCCCTCTGCTTCATGTTAGTGGGGACTTCCCCTTCAGCTCTATGTGCACCCCTCCCCAGTTTAGGGGTCTCTGGGGCAGTGGCCATGTTCTCCCCCTGGGGGGGCCTTTGGCCCCTAGTCCTGGGAACTCTGTGCCTGGAACCCTGCCTCATCTGTTCCTGCCAGACCCTGTGGGTCACCCTCCCACCCTGGTGTCTCAGGGCTCTGGCTCAGTGGGCCAGGATGGTGGTGGGAAGGCCCTTCTTGTTGGGCTGGATTGTACATAATGTTAATAGTGAAAACCCAACGCCACATTTTTATAATTGTGATTAAACTTTATTGTACAAAAATGCTTGGTCACTATCTTTGCGAAGAGCAGGCTGGGATGCAAGTTGACATAGTGGGTGGAGCAAGATAAGGGGAAAATGGGTGGCTTGAAGTTTGGGGTGAGTAGGCCTACAACACAGTGCTGCTGTGGACCAACCTAACGACCACAACAACCACGCCAATATCTCCCCATGCACGCTAGCCAGAGCTGTACCAAGATCAGGCTTCCCTCTCTTTCCCCAGAACCACAGCTAGTGCTGGGCCTCCAGCCTACTGGGGAACCCAGTAGGAGGGATGAACCAAGGTCACCCTGTTTCTACTCCATTATCCCCAACTACATTACCAAGTGGGTAGGTTCTGTCCTCTGCCTGCCTGCCACAGAGTGAACTGGCCACCAGGGGGCACTCTAGCAAAATTCCCTTCTCCAAACTTCCTTGCCCGCCCCTAGGGGTGGAGGCTAGGCTGGTCTCCTTCCTGGAATGGGGCAGGAGGGAGGAGCAAGCGGAAGGAAGGAAGCCCGTGTGCAGCTAGTTGACCCACCAGCCCAGGACAACCTCTCCCAGTGGCCAGTTTGGACTCCCTGGGACTAGCAACAGGTAGGCAGATGACACTGCACTCCAGGTGGCCCTTCTCTTGGTCTCAGCCCTTCCTCCCTCCCTAAGCCCTTTCTGTCCAGCTCTGCCATTTTCTTCCTCTTTGGTATTCCCAGTCATTTTTTCCATCCACCTCAATCCCTAACCCTTTCTGCATCCAGCCCTAGTGACTCAGCGGTTAGGGTCAAGAGGGCAGGCAGCCCGACTGCTACGAGCGCACAACTGCAACCCACAGCTAGTGCTCAGCGCCTTCCACATCGTTGCCCCACCTGCTAGATTCCGTCTAGGAATCACACACTTGAAGCAGGCGGTATCCGGCAATTCTAGTGAGCAAGACTCTCTTCCCACAGCTGGGCATGGCAGAACCTGCGCAGGTGCCATCACTGGTATACCTAGTCACAGGTGGCTGTGGCTTCCTGGGGGAGCATATTGTTCGAATGCTGCTGGAACGGGAGCCCAGGCTCCGGGAGCTGCGTGTCTTTGACCTGCACCTGAGTCCCTGGCTAGAGGAGCTGAAGACAGGTGATGGAAGTGGGGCAGGAGCGTGAGGAGGGTGTGGTGCTCCATCCCTCCCTGACTGGGATGCTTGCACTTGTGGGAAAGATGAGTCCTGTGTTGGTCTCCAGCTCACACAGCTGGGATGCGTGAGTCACTGGGAGCACGTGGCCCCTGGAGGCATGCAGGCTGAATTCAGCAGCTGGCCAAGGCCCCAGCTCTGACACTGCCTGGGGCCTCTCCACCAGGGCCTGTGCAGGTGACCGCCATCCAAGGGGATGTGACTCAGGCCCACGAGGTGGCAGCTGCCGTGGCCGGATCTCACGTGGTCATCCACACAGCTGGGCTGGTGGATGTGTTTGGGAAGGCCAGTCCACAGACCATCCACAGAGTGAATGTGCAGGGTGAGGTGCTACCTACCTGTTAGAGTGACACCTGTCATTCTTTAGTCTGGCCATCCTGTCATCTTCCTGTCCTGCTGAAAACCCAGCCCCATCACTGCTGTCCTACCCTCTCCTTAGACACTGGGTGGAGCAGGAGGAGGTCGAGTCAGGAAGACACAGCTTGCATCTGTCCCTTCCCTTCACAGGCACACAGAATGTGATTGAGGCTTGTATGCAGACTGGAACTCAGTTCTTGATCTACACAAGCAGCATGGAAGTTGTGGGACCTAATGTCAAGGGCCACCCCTTCTACAGGTAAGCTTAGCCCCACTTAATTTCAGAGTCCATTTCCCTCCAGCACTGAGTCTTTTTTCTTCTGCTCTAGGGGCAATGAAGATACCCCATACGAGGCAGTCCACAGGCACCCGTACCCTTGCAGCAAAGCCCTTGCTGAGCAACTGGTCCTGGAGGCCAATGGGAGGAAGGTACTCTGCAAAGATAGTTGTTTGGAGTGCTGAAGGCAGAGGGAGAGCCTGACCCCCAGGCTTCTTTGACTCCATCTCCACTGCATGGTGGCCAGGGTAGAGCGGTGTGCTCCAACACTTTCCCTTTGTTACCAGGTCAACGGAGGGCTACCCCTCGTGACATGTGCCCTTCGACCCACAGGCATCTATGGTGAAGGTCATCAGGTCATGAGAGACTTCTACAACCAGGGCCTGCGCTTTGGGGGTCGGCTGTTTCGGGCCATCCCAGCTTCTGTGGAGCACGGTCGGGTGTATGTCGGTAAGGACAGGGCAAAGGGAGGCCGAGAGCAGGGCAAGGGGACTGTGTCTAAAGATGGCAGAGTCATGAGTGTCCCCTGGCCCCCTGAGGGCTGACATAAAAATATGTCCTAAGTTATGCTGAGCACTGAAGCAATGTGAGTGACAGTTCTCCAAAGAAAGAGAAGGGCAGCATCTATGCAGGACATCCAGACAGTAGTGACATTGGGTGGCATCTATATGGGGCCAAACGGGGACTGGATCAGGGGCCCTCAGTGACATATCTACCTCCCTCCCTATTGGTAGGCAATGTGGCTTGGATGCACGTGCTGGTGGCCCGGGAGCTGGAGCAGCGGGCAGCACTCATGGGTGGCCAGGTGTATTTCTGCTATGACAAGTCACCGTACAAGAGCTATGAGGACTTCAACATGGAGTTTCTGGGTCCCTGTGGACTTCGACTGATAGGCACCCACCCATTGCTGCCCTACTGGCTGCTGGTGCTGCTGGCTACCCTCAATGCCCTGCTGCAGTGGCTGCTCCGCCCACTGGTGCTGTACACACCCCTGCTGAATCCCTACACCCTGGCCGTGGCCAACACCACCTTTACTGTCAGTACCAACAAGGCACAGCGCCATTTTGGCTACAAGCCCCTCTTCTCATGGGAAGAGAGCAAGGCCCGCACCATTCAGTGGGTGCAGGCCTTGGAGGGTTCGGCCTGGTGACAGCAGGGCCGAGGACTGGAGGTCACTGTGGTATACTCAGAGCCTGAGCCTTCAGAGCCCGGATGGAGAGAAATGGCTGCCTTCTGAAGTGGGGGCTGCGGTGTCTGCCTGGGCAGTATGGACCTTGCCACGTTTTACCTACACAGATCTTGAACATGGATGGTATCCCAGTCTCCAAGTTCTAGGACAGGGTTTGGGGACAGGCCTGTCTTTGGTCCCAACTGAGGCCTGCCAGCTGGTTGGCAAAACTGATTCCTAAATGGTCTCATGACCCCTTCACATTTCCAGTTTCTCAAGCAGGAAGGGGCAAAGGTCCCAGAGAACCAGTGCTGGTTGGCGTACTCTGGATGCTGTCTTCAAACCTGGCTTCTGCCACATCTGGCTCTCCTTAAGGGTTACAGTTCCGTGAATTTCTTAAGTGTATCTCTTAGATGTTTATCTTTTCATTTGCTTTAAAGAAGGCTGAAGAACTCATGTCTTGCCTCTCCAACCAAATTCAATGCCTGTGACACTGTTAGCTTTTGGCCGAGAATGTCAACCATGCTGTATCTGACCAAGCCTGGATTAAAATCCTTTTCCAAGTCTGTCTCTACCTGTTGCTCCCCACCCTCATGTCTCCCCTCTCCACGGCGCCTGTCCCGTGCAGGGACAGAAGGAGCACACAGCAAGCCCGCTGTTGGATTAGTTGCTATTTCTCCCGTCCCACCAGGCCCAACCTGGCCCAAGATGGGGTCCAAGGGGCTCTGGAGACAGGACATGCAGGTCTGGGGCAGGGGGTCAGAATTTCCTGTATTTTATCCATTTGCAACTTGGTCACCAATAGAGAGAAATAAGACTCTGAGGGGGTAACAGGGGGGTGGCCAGGCTCTGGGCCCCCAGCCAGGCCCCAGGAGTCCTGTCCCTCAGGGGAGGGAAGGGAGAGAGTTCTAGAAACCAATGGAGAAAAAGAGAAGGGGGCAGGGGCTCATGTCAGCAAACATGGCTACATCACATGACACGCCAGCGACACAGAAACACACCAACACACACAGCTGCACAGCGGGGCGTGGGGAGTCTAGGTCTGGGAGAAGGGAACTAGGGACCAACCATCTTGTCCTCTGTGAGGTGGGTGGGGCAGGGTAAGTGCATAGAACACATCATGTGTACACGCTCAAGGCATGGCAAGAGCGTGATGACCCACAGGCACAGGGGATGGACACACGGTGTGCTTTGTAAGAGGCAAGGAAAGTGACGACGGAAGCAGCGAGTCCTGGCGTGGGCCCAGGACCACCAAGGGGGCACATTTGGGCTCGATGGTTTTAGGTGTGTGGAGAGCAGGCGGCACACACTTATCTGAGAACATGCAAAAGACACCAGCCCCCAGACAGTCATCCAGAACACACATCTGGACAGCAGTCCACACACATGTCCATCATGTGGCTTGTAGAAAGCTGGGTTACAGCAGACTCGGACTGCTAATCCACTTGAGGCCCAGTGGTGGACAGCAATGGGCCCAGTGCCATCCAAAGAGGCAGAAGCAGCATGCCAGCCACAGTCCTGTCCTGGTGGACACCGTGGCTGGGGTGCCAAGGAGGCTGCTGGAAACACCTGGGTTAAAGGGAGTTTTGGCCGGGCTGAAGGAAGAAGGGGACGACGGATGGATGCTGGGGCTTGGCCCCCTGTGACATCTCCAAAGAAGCCAAGGATGGGGGCAGTAGGCTCTGGGTGGACTCCTGTCCTGTCAAAGAATATTCTGGAAATTGATAGGCAAGCTCCCTCCTCAGCACAGCTAACCTGGGGTTACATACATGTGGACACAGGCACACACACACACACACACACACACACCAGGTGGGCAGAGCTCAAACAGCTAGGCGGGGAGGAGCCGCACTGTCAAGGCTTGCTCAGAAGTCTCGTCATATTTGCAGGGTCTCCTCCCCCTTCTCCCCCAGTCCTGCACACACTCGTGTACACACATGGCTTCCCCAGTCCAGGGCAGGACATGCATCTCTGTGTGTCACCTACACATTCACAGGACTTCTAGCCCAGTCCTTTATCCCACTTACCTCCTGCTTACTCCCAGAGAACCCACAAAATGCACAGCCATCCTCACCGCAAAGAACAATCCCTGTCTCACTGTCTCACCCTCCCTGTCACCCAGCTGTGGTAGTGGCCATGGCTCATGTTTCAGCAGTACACATGTCCGAGGGACAGATTCAAGGACGGCCCTAAGTAGCCACTCAGGTATGTGTGAAATCCAGTTCCCAAACCCAAGTTTCTTGAGGAAGAGTCCAGAGCATCAGCTGAGGCAGTGAGGACAAACAATAGCTTCTGAGTGAATCTGAGAGGCAGGAAGAGGAAATGCCATGGTTTCCTGCCTGCCTGGAGCAGCCCTTGACATCCTACCTCCTTTGGTCCACCACACTCCTTCCAGGAGACAGTTGATGTGCAAATGGGTGTGGCCCAGGATGGGCACCGTGCTGTTCATGTGTGAGGCCCAGCACTAATGTGAGGTCACCTTTCTCAACTTCCGCAGCTCGGCATTTATGAACACACTAGGATGTGCTACCTATCCAAGGCTCAGTGCTACTGTCAGGCAGAGACAGAAAGGTAGAGTCTGGGTGTGTGTCCGTCACACAGTCTGGGGAAGAGGAGCACGGCTTGCACACTCTTGCGGGAGCAGTGTAGTGTGTGTGGCTGCTGTTCTGAGCAGAGGGAGGGAGAAACTAAGTCCGCAGAAGCAAACCCTGGGGAGCACGTCCTTAAAAAGAAATGTGTGTGCATGTCCTATGCAGAAGCAGAAACGTGTACATACACAGAGTCAAATTCCAGGTAACTTAGAAACAGACATCTGTCCCCATCCAAACTAGTGTCTGATTCACAGCATGGATAGCTCTGTCTGAAGAGAAAACTATCACCACACACACACACACACACACACACACACACACACACACACACACACACAAGCCCTTTACATCATCTGTTGGGGAAATACACATTCATACAAACTAAGACAGGTTGTTTATCATTTACACACAGGCTTCCACTTGCCTCCCCTGAACTCCAAGGCTCAACACACACACACACACACACACACACACACACACACACACACACGGTGGGGGAGGTGGTCCCAGGACATGATGCAATCCCTGGCAGTAACTGAGCCAGGAGAGTTTGTGAATTTGTTCTACATCACTTGAAACATGTGCCATGGTCTCTGGACCTCCCTGGATCCTCTGAAGGTGTGAATTATCTTCACACCTACCTCCCACTCCAAATAGCAGATAGGAGAGAAGGTCAGTGAAGGAATTGCTTTTGCATTGGGTTTTCACACTTACAAAACTCCATGTACACACATGTTCATGCACGCACACACGCACGCGTGCACGCGCACACGCACACACACATGCACGCCTGTACTACACATATGTCTATTCACAAAAGACAGGTTGGGGCATGGTCGGCTGTTGTGTTATACTCAGCCACTCTGCACAGCAGCCAGATAGAGAGGGAAGTTCAGACCACACAGGATGGAGATGGCAGCAAGGAAGGGTTCAGGGCATCTGCATACATCTACACAGGCACACACACGCTGGGGTATCCACACGTCTTGAGCATGTGCCCGCGGCATGCATGTTGGTGTGCATGTGTGATCACGCCTGCTGCTATCTATGTGCGGCAAGGTGGAGGGGGATCCATGGCAAGGTGAGAGCCAGGGACTCCGGGGTCTGCGGTAAGGGTGAGAGGAGCTGGAACTGCCTGGGTCTGTTTTGGGAGTGAGCTTGGAGCAGGGGAGAGTGGAAGGGTGGTGGGGGTATTGCTCCCGATGTGTGGAGAGGAACCTAGGGAAGAGAAGGGTAGGGGCCTACAAGCCCAGTGTCCCCCCAATGGATGACGCCAAGACCACCCCCAGCACCACACAGCAAATGATGATCATGATTTTCTTCTGCAGGTGGAAAGATTAGGGGGGAAGAGGGAGAGAGGCAAGAGACAGACAGACAGACAGACAGATTAAGGGAGAGTTAGGATGTGGGGCATAAGGAAAGAGAGGGGAGAGAAAACAGAAACAGGAAGAGGTCAGAGCCAGAGATAAGGCCGCTCACCCATATCATAACTGCCACACCCCACCCATGGGTCCCCCACCCCTTCAACAGGCCACCTCCGCTGGCTTACCCTCCGAGCCTTGCTCTGATATTTCACAGCTTTCTTGGTGTCAGACACAGCTCGTTCCACATAGTCCACGGAATGTTCCACATTGTATTCAATGCGGTCAATCATCTCGCCCTGCAGAGTGGGAGTGTGAGGAGGGGATAAGGAGGGTGGAGTTGGAAGAGGCAACCCTGGGTGGGGTTCAGGGGGGCTTCCAGACTGGTGCCGCCCGTACCTGACTCTCTACGAGCATGGCCATGTCCACAAACATATCATGCAGCTCTCGGATGCTGGTTTCCAGCTTGATGATCTCATTGTGTCTTGTCTCGATCTCATTTAGTGCCTGCTTTGTCATCTGGGAGTCCATTTTGATCTAGGGTGACAGTAGGGAAGAGAGGGTTGTGACCAATCTTTGCCATGTGACAGCTTCAACTTAACAGCTGGAGGGGCTGGGTTCAAATCCCTGGGCAAAGTATTTACCCTCTTCTAGACCTTGTTAGCGCCACCTAGAAAATATGGATCATAAGCCAGGTATGGTGGCGCACCCCTTTGATCCCAGCACTCAGGAGGCAGAGGCAGGTGGATCTCTGTGAATTCAAGGCCAGCCTGATCTACAGACAGAGTTCCAGGACAGCCAGAGCTACACAGAGAAACCCTTTCTGGAGAGAGAGAGAGAGACAGAGAGAGAGAGCATGGCTCATAATAGCTCTATCTCAGAAGACTGTTGTGAAGTTGAGTGAGTTTGTGTGTGTGACGTTAAACAATCCCTGGAACACCATAAGCATCAAAGAGAAGTCTGTTGAATGACAAGGAATAAAGCTTATAGAGTCCACACTCTCACCCAGGGCTCCCTGGAGTAGTGCACACATCAAGGAAGCCCAGGGAAGGAAGATGGTTAGAGCCGACAGGGTGATGGAGAGATAGGGCAGGTAGGAAAGCGGAACAGACAGGAGGCTCAGACGTGAAGGCAGTGTGCCCGGGAGTCAACAGAAGCCTGCCTGAGGTGAAGCAGGGAGACATAAGGGCAAAATGCACAGCGGCCTCAAGAGACCAGGAGAAATTCCAGCTCACAGCTACAGTGCCCCCTCTGCTCCTGACCCACTGTTGGCCCTTGCTGAGCTTAGAAGCAGTAGAATGTCACACCTGCCCTTCCCTTCCCCAAGTCCCTCCCCACACATTAGGAGCAACACACCCCCTCCACTCTCCCCTGCTCCAAACTCACTCCCAAAACAGCCTTTCTGCCCATATTTCCTGCCCGTGTTGTAAGAGCCAAGGTCATCCAACAGCTGCCCTGCATGAGTTCCCATCTCCCTGTTTTTGACTACTCTTTGCCAATATTCTCATATCTAAAAGCTCATTTGCTTCTCTCTTTTTAGATTTTTAAAGTGTATACATGTGTTTGCACGTGAATGTGCACACAGGTGTCCACATGGGTCAAGGAGTTTGAATCTCCTGGAGCTGGAATTACAGGAAGTTGTGAACCCCTGACATAGTTGTTGGGGACTGAACTCTGGTGCTATACTCACCGAACCATCTCTCCCCATACCCTGTTGCCTTTTCAGACCATCTGAATGCCTTCTCTTGACGTCTTCCTTCACCCCAGTACTAATAATCCCAGGCAACACACAGGGCTCATCTGCAGTTTCCTGAACCCTCAGCCAGGCTCACAACCACTGATATTGTGAAACCGAGAGAGTTTCGTAAAGGTGGTTTCCACTGCACTATGGAATGCCAGGGAGTAGAGGTCAACTCTTTGTGTGTGTGTGTGTGCGTGTGTGTGCGTGTGTGTGCGTGTGTGTGCGCACGCGCAGGTCTCTCCATATAAGTCCTGGCTGTCCTGGAGGCTATGCAGACCAGGCTGAACTTGAACTCACAGAGATCTTCCTGCTTCTGCCTCCCAAGTACTGGAATCAAAGGTGTGCACCACCATGCCTGGCCAGAGGTCAACTCTTACCCACTAAAGTGAGATCTCTTAGAGTCACCCACCAGGGTCCTCTCCAGTCTCACACAGAAAGACAGACAGTCTCAGGAGAGCTGTACTGGGGGGAGGAGGAAGAGTATCTAACTGGCCCACAACCTATCTGCCCAGGGTTAATTCAACAAAAAACAACTATTCAAACACCACTTTACTGCAAACCATCAGACAATCACGGTGAATACTTTTCACCCGGTCTACACCTGTTTCCCAATTCTGGCCACAGAGGCAGAAACGGAGGCAGGACTGGGCAGGCCAGAGCACATGTCCACAAGGAGAAAGAGAACCTGGGTTCAGGGAAAGCCCATCCACTAACACAGAACAGAACAGGGCAGTGTGGAAAACATAAGGCAAACCAAAAGAAAAGCCTCCAAAACCAAGTCACAGAGAATGACATGCCTCAGGCGGGGGCTGTGCTCGCCTGTGAGTCTGGGGAGGGAAGCATACTGTCAGTTGCCATACTAAGAGCTCTGACTAGTAAATTAGACTGTGGAGTTGAGTTCTCCGCAAATTATTTCACCTTCTGGCTCAATTTTCCTCATCTGTGAAATGGGCTACCTCTGAGATTATGGGGAAGATTAAATGAAGCTAGACACAGTGGTATACCCCTGTAATTTCATCTGAGGCAAGAGGATTGTAATTTGAAACAAGCCTGTGCCACATAACATGATTCTGTACCAAAAACAAAACAAAACAAAAAATTCTGCCTGGCACAGCATTATCAACCGTGTTTAAGGAGCTGCCTTCCTGCCCTGCCCCCATGGAATCCCCCAGTTCTTGGTTCAAATTGCCCTTTGTCTGATATGCCTGGGTGGATGGGGGCAGGGGGAGAGGCAACCGTCTTCCCGACAGCCCCTGACCCGACCCGGGGGCTCACGTCGTCTGTGAAGATGGCCAGCTTCCCACTTTCCAACATGTCTTCCAGTTCTTCATTGGTAGTCGTCCTGCCAGCTGTGGAGAGAAAGGACTTCCTGTTCAGGAAGTGGGCCTGAGGCGGTGGGATGAAGGGAGCAGGAACCCAGGACCCACCCTTCCACCAGGCTCCGGCCAGGTGCTGCCTCCAGGGAGGAACCACCTGGAGGGGCCTGGGAAGCCCTGGAGTTTGGGGAGAGAAGGGGCACACGCACTGATCTCCAGCTGCCGCTGGATGCGGTCCTTGCAGCGGTCCCGGTACTTGGACTGGGTTGCGTTATACTCGGTCATTACCTCCACGAACTTCCGCGAGAGTGTGGAGTGCTAAGAGAATGGGGGAAGACACCGCGGGGCGTCAGGGGCAGACGCCAGGCTGAGGAGGCTGCAGCACCAGCCGCCCACGAATTCAAAGCCACATCCCCATCCTTTCCCCGCAGGCAACAAATGGTACCCAAAGCCCCCCACGGAGACCACTCCAGCCCCGGCTGGTCCCCTGCACCCTGAGCCTACCTGCGTCTTGCGGATGCGCAGGTCCGCGGAGGAACGATTCAGCCCCTCTTCCTGCTCAATGCTTTGCTCGATAGCTGTGGGAGAGAAGGCAGTGACAGGCTGGAAATCAGGGGGCTGGGCAGGGGACCAGGATCTGGGGTGCAGGAAGAGGCAGGTTCCAGGCTTGGGGAAGAGACACCATGCTCCATGAAAGGAACGACGGCGGGGTATAGTTTTACAGGCTGCCAAGTACACAGGCCCAGGGATCTGAGGGGGTTTCCTAAGGCAGGTAGGGAGAGACAGAGTCAAAAGGTCACCAGACAGGTTTGTTCTGATGGAAGGGTTTTGCCTTGGAAAGAGCCCAAGCTCACGAGGGAATATAACCAGTCCACTAGAGGGGACACTGCTCCCCCCAAAGTAGTCTCCAGTTCCTCTCACCTCTGAACAAGAAGCAAAACCCACCAGCATTTTTTTTTTCCCTTTAAAGATGGGATGCTGTTACATTGCCTGGAACATGTGGACTCAAAGACACTTCTGCCTCAACTTTCTGAGCAGCTGCTCCTGCAAGCAAAGACCCTCCCACCACCTTCTGATGCTCTTGGTGGCTGATCTTTCCATGAGAATTCTGTAACTGACAGGTGATGTTCTAGCCCAGGAAACTTAGCTCTCCTTCTGCCTGCCTGTCCTGTGAGTTTCACTTCTTTATTTTATTTTGTGGTTTTCTGAGACAAGGTTACTCTGTGTAGCCTAGCTGTCTGGAACTCGGCCTCCCTATAGACCAGGCTGGCCGTTGAACTCAGAGATCTGTCTGCCTCTGCCTCCCGAGTTCTGGGATCAAAGGCGTGCGGCACCACCGCCAGGCGAGTTCCCACTTCTAACGGATGTCTTGTACTGCTTCTGGGCCGTGGAGTCCTGAGTCGTCACTCAGATTTTCTCAGAAAAGCAATCACAGCTCCTCCAGGTTGGATCAGAAAGTGCAGCAGGGAGGAATTGCCTGGCGTGCTTAGACTCAGGGGCTCTGGGACAGTCCTGAGAATACCGCCTCTCTGTCCTACCAGCAGCGGGGGAGGGATGGGACTAGATGGCTCCCCAGGACTCTCCTTAAGCAAAAGCAGGAACAGTGACAGCGCTAGCAGAGAAACACCAGGCACACAGGACCAGGGCCCCAGAGACCTGCTGGTCCTGCTGGGCTGTATTGTGAGACCTGGGGCTAGGACTAAGTGTCGACAGAGGGGTCTTTTATACAGCAATTCTGGGAACTCCTTGATACCGGTTGGTAGTGCACACTAGAAACTGGGGTTTGAATTCCTGAGACAACTCATCAAGGTCATCCTGATGCCATCAACTGGGAAAAGGTGGGGATTTTTTCTTGGTCAGTTTCGTTAAACTTTTGTCTTCTGTCTGGACCTATTCCTGAGCACCTGACCACTAGGCTTTCTTCATGGTCTCCTAGAAAGTGTTCTAGAACAGGACACAATGGATCTGAAGAAACCACCGAGAGTCCTGGGCCTGTGAGCCTCCCCACATCTCAGCCTACCAAGTGCTAAAATTGTGGGGGCACACCATGGTTGGATGCAAACCACCTTTTATGATATTTGTTTTGAGATTGTCACCTTACAATTCTGGCTGCCTGGAACTCACAGTGTAGACCAGGCTGGCCTCAAACTCATAGAGATTTACCTGCCTCTGCCTCCCTATGCTGAGCCTAAAGGGCATCATCACATCTGGCAATTTTTATGTTTCGTATTTGAGATTCTTGGTAAGACTTTATCTGGAGAAAAATGTTTTGTTGTCAAAAACAGAAGCAAATAAGGGCATTTTGTAATTGCTTCAGTTTCCCCGACTATACTGATGAGCAAACCAAGGACAGGAACTGTCCACAATGAGTTGACATTGGGGGCTGGACTCCTCCACGTAGATTGCATAAACATGGCTGGTTCCAGAGCACCCTCACTGAGTACAAAGGGCTTGTCTTTACAGGTCAGCATCAAAGGCTTACACACAGCCTTCCCTTAGTCCAAAAGGACACAAAGCCTGTTTCCTCACCTCCTCAGGCAAGGCTTGGGGGACAGGCCTTTGCCAAGGCCTGGCTAAAGCCTGTCAATGGGGTCGCAGTGCTGCAGACATTTGGTAACTGTCTCATGCTGCCGAATTACACCGGGGACTGCTCCTTACCACTGCTATTCCCCTGGCACCAGCAGACAAGGAGGTTCCCAACCCACAGTGCTTTGAGGGAAGGTGATCATTACCAGCACCCAAGTCCTTAAATTAGAGCGAATACATGAGCGTTTGGCAAGGCCCTCCTGAAAGCGTGCCAACCCCTGATGTCAGCCACACTGTCCAATCTGTCCTGAGCTGAGGACAATAATTCAGAAGCATTTGCTGAGCCACCTACTGGGTGCTCTGTGCCCCTGCTCAGGGCCTGTTAACTGAACAAAACTCAAACCTCTCGGAGGAGTACATTTCCTTCATTTTACCCCTCCCTTCCTTCTTGGGTTTTTGAAACCGAGTCTCACTGTTAGCCCACGTGCATCAGGAACTCTCACTTTTCCTGTAGCAGCCTCCCGAGTTCTGGGATTGTAGGTCGTCACCACCCTGACTGACTGGAAATCTGTATTTCTCTGATTGATGGCTCTCAGGTGCAGTCAGGCGGAAACCCTACCCAGCTCACTCCCCTGTCATGTGTCACGGGCAAAAGTGGGCTTGTGTATTTCTCCCTGATTAGGAATCTGGCCCCCAGAAGCCAGTGAGCACTGCTCACACAGACCTGTTTTGTCCAGGGCAGGGCAGAGATCTTTCTCTGCAATTGCAGGGTTACACTGCTCACCTTTCAACTTGGACCGGACCTTGTTTGCAGTCTTTTTGATGTCTGCTGTGAGGTCCTCCAGCTCCTGCTTAGTCTCTGCGGGAAGGGCAGAGAGGGGAGTGAGAGCCTGCGGGGGACCCGAGCCCCGAGCCCCCGAAGCAGCACTCACTCTCATCTGGGTTGGGGGCGGCGAGGATGGCACTGTGTTGCTTCTTCACCTGCTCCACGTCCTCAGACAGCTTCTCGATGCAGCCTCGGATCTCTTCCACCTGGGCAGAAAGCACGGACACCTCACCCAGGGAATCAGGACTGCTGGCCAGTGCTCAGTTAAACACACTAAACCCAGAAGGCCCAGGGGTATGCAGGAAAGAGGGGTGCAGGTGGCAAAGGAAGTTGCTGGGAAGGGGCACGGTTCCGGTCAGGGCATTGGGGGCTCTACCTGTTCAAAGAACTCATCCATGAAGTGGTCTCGATCCACATGGACCACCTCCTCTTCATCATCACTGTCTTTCGCCTGGGAAGCAAAGCAAGGCCAGATCCATGAGTGGTCCCTATCCTGCTCCCCACGGTTGACTCTCCTGCTCTCCGGTCCTCTTCCCGCCTCACATACATGGATGGTACCAATTCTAGGCTCAGAAACTAGGGAAGGGTCCTAGTCAGCAGGAAGGGCAAGGACACCAACAGTCAGAGCCAGCTCGGGATATCTTGAAGGACAGTGTCTTAGTTGCCCTGGTACTTCCAAGTGAGTCAGCTAAAGGCAATCTCTGAGGTAGGAACACCTCCTGTCTTCAGAGTCTCCCTAGAAAGAGACATCAGTCGAGGCTGACGCTATTGACTGCTGGGTAAAATAAATTTCAATATTTTAACAACCAGCTAAACCCCATGTTTGTGACAGTGGTCTGTGATCTCCAAGGATGTTTTCCCAGGCTGCGAACCTTCCCATCATCCTCTAGCAGTGCCTGCTGGGGTCTCCCTTTTCCCTGCCCTGCCCATTCATCTCCTCATGGCAGGCAGGTCACATCGCTGCCAAGTGCCGGTGGTTGATGCCAAGTTGAGCAAACACAGCCAGGCCTAGTAAGGACTGGCTGAGCCATGCCGGCAGCACTCTGACCTGCTCCCCCCACGCCCCCGCCCTGCACACAGCGGTTGAAGACCATTCTTTCCCCCACGCCGTTCACTCACTTTCTTCCAGTCCTTTCCAACCCCACACCCACCAACTCTCTCTGACTCGGATTTCCCAGTTGCAACCGGCAGCTGCTCAGCCCTCCACCCTCAGAGCTCAGAGACACAAAGGGATTTACCCACCCACACTGCCATCTCCAGGCAGACCAGTGACACAGACAGAAGAGCTGACACACACAGAAATAGGCCCCTGACACCCACATAGAGCCACACTGCCGCGCTGCCAGGCGGAGCTGCCTCACTGACACGAGGACACAGAGACCCGCAGCCATGTCCCCAGGAGGGGGGGAGGGTACTGCTAGTCACCCAGCCTGTGAGCCCCAGAACTGCATTCTCAGCCAGCTGGGCAGAAAGCACAGGAGGGCTCCCCTGGGATCCCCACTCAGCTTTGCTTGGGACAAAATTCTCAGGACAAAGTTGAGCTCAGCCATTGACTGGCTTTAAGTCTGGAGCCTTAGTCAGCCCCAGTGGAAAGTTAAAGGGGTCAGCCTGAATCCCAGACAGGTTGAGCCAGAGTTGAGACAGAATGCAGCCAAGAGAGCCTGCATGAGATCAAGACAGGGGCCAAACAGCAGTTGCCTGGAAGTGGAGCCACTGGACCTGTAGCAGGGAGCGGGCCCTTCTGTAGCGGATCCCAGACAACAGAGTGCAGGGAACTGCACTCGGCTAAGACGCATCTGTTCAGACTGAACCTACACAGAGCCAGATGGGACCAAGATGCCACCAAGACACCAAGATGGCTTGGGATCCACAGAACCCAGGCAGCTCTGGGACCAGCACAACCCAGGGGGGAGACCTCCTGCTGAGGCCAGACAGCCACCTGATTCTGCCCAGGTCTTGCTCAAACAGAACTCGAGGGTTTCAAAGACTCTGCTAGGACTTCCGGCTTCTCCAGCCTCAACTTGGCCCGGCAGATGCTGGCCCTGCAAGCCTCTGAGCAGAAGGGCTCATCTTTGGGGTGAACTAGTTTCTTATGGTGCTTCCCAGCTTCTCAGCCTCCAGGGCCACAACCTCCCGCTGACCTTCCCATCCGCCACTCGCCCACCCTCGGCCAGCTTCATACAGGTCAGGAGACCCTTTGCTGGTCTAGGTAGCTGGGAACCTTCCTCTTCTCTGGCTCTTTCCCTTCCCATGCCAACTTGAGGAAGTCCTTCCTAAAGTCTGATTTCACTTTCTCCTGATGTTTTCAAAGCCTCTTCCCTCAGATTCTTCCTAGAGCACTCAAGTTACTTATTTACTTGTCCTTGAGAAGAGGAAAGTATAAAGGTTTGACTAATAATTACAAAGAGAGCTAAATTCCTCTGTGTGTACAAACATGTTCCCATTCATAATCCCTTTTGATCCTCACTCCACAGTCCAGTGAGAAAAGCTGGACAAATACTGTTCATGTTTCATAGATGAAGGTGCCAGGGCGGGAAAGGACAGTGATTTGCCCAAGGCAGAGTAGGACCAGGGTACTGTGGTCCAGGAACATGGTCTGCTGCCCCCAAGGCTCTGCTGCCCTAGCAATCATTATTTGCCATGGGTTCCTTTCCCTCCCAGGCCAGCTCCTGCCTAGGAGAGGTGTGAGTCCTGACAACCCAGCCACAGTGCCAGCGCCTCCTGCAGGTACCTTACACTCTCCTCGTCCCCTGATCTTCAAAACTCTGGATGGAGGGGCTGGGACCATGGCTCAGCTCTTTTTTTTTTTTTTTTTTTTTTTTTTTTTTTTTTGGTTTTTCGAGACAGGGTTTCTCTGTGGCTTTGGAGGCTGTCCTGGAACTCACTTTGTAGACCAGGCTGGCCTGGAACTCACAGAGATCCGCCTGCCTCTGCCTCCCAAGTGCTGGGATTAAAGGCGTGCGCCACCAACGCCCGGCTATGGCTCAGCTCTTAAAAGCATGTATTGATCTTGCAGAGCACCCACGTTGGGTAGCTCACAACCACCTGTATGTAACGCCACTCCAGGGAATCTGACGCCCTCTTCTGGTCTGTGTAGGTCCTTGCACTCAGTACACACATATACCAACACACACACACACACACACACACACACACACACACACACACACACACGGGGGGGGGGGGGGGAGATTAAAAAATATTTTTTAAAGCTAGGTGTGGTAATGCTGCCTCCAGTACCTGGGAGGCATAGGCAGGGAGTTCTCTGAGTTCAAGGCCAGCCTGGTCTACAGCAAGTGAGTTCCAGGACAGCCAAGATTACATAGAGAAACCTTGTCTCAAAAACAACAAAAATAATCTGGGCAGTGGTGGCGCATGCCTTTAATCCCAGCACTCGGGAGGCAGAGGCAGGCGGATCTCTGTGAGTTCGAGACCAGCCTGGTCTACAGAGTGAGTTCCAGAACAGGTTTCAAAGCAATACAGAGAAACCCTGTCTCAAAAAACCAAACAAACCAAAACAAAACAACCCAAAAATAAAACAAAATCTATTTTAAAATCTTACAAACAAAACAAAAACAGGGTCTGGAGAGATGGCTGCCCTTGCACAGGCTTCAGGCTCCATCCCATGACCCACATGGTAGCTCACAACCCTCTGGAACACCAACCCTGGGGAGTCCAGACATCCTCTTCTGGCCTCCGGGGGCACCAGGCACGACTGTGATGAAGATGCAGACAAAACACTCATGCAAAGTAAATAAATAACTCTGTAAGAAACAAATACCTATAATCCTAGCATGGAAAGCCGAGGCAGGAGGATTGCCATGAGTTTGAAGCAAGTGAGTTCCAGCTCAGCCTGGGTTACAGAATAAGATCCTGTCTCAAGAACAGTCATATACCTGGCATGCTCACACTTTTAATCACAGTAGAGGTAGGGAGAGGTGAATCTCTGTGAGTTCAAAGCCAGGCTGGTCTACACAGCCATTTCCAAGCCAGACAGGACTCCATAGGAAGACCCTGTCTAAAACAAACAAACAACAAACAAACAAAAACTCTGTAATGACCACTGAGTGACACAATTGAGCTCTGACAAACATTTAAACAGTGTTACAAAGTTCAGGGTGCTTGTCTGCATATTCTGCACATGCTTCCCATTTAATTCATTATTGATGTATGTGTGTGTGGGTGGTGTGTGTGTGATGTCTGTGTGTGTGATGTGTATGTGTGTGAGGTGTCTTTGTGTGTGTGGTGCCTTTGTGTGTGTGTGTGTGGTGTCTGTGTGTGTTATGTCTGTGTGTGTCCCTCTCTGTGTGTGATATCTGTGTGTGTCTGTCTGTGTATGTGTGTGTGCTGTGTGTCTATGTGTGTGATATCTGTGTGTCTGTGTATGTGTGTGTGTGTCTGTGTGTCTATGTGTGTGTCTATGTGTGTGGTGTCTGTGGGGGGGGATGGAACCTAGCACCTCATGCATGCTAGGTAACACTGTCATTGAGTGACCATGCCAGCTCTTGGTTTTCTGAGACAGAGTCTTGCTGTAGCTCAGAGTAGCCTTTAACTTGGAATCCTATTGCCTCTACTTCCTGAGTGCTGGGATTATAAACCACACCACCAGATTTATTCATTTCTTACAACAGTCTCCTGAGACAATACTATCACATCCCCCTTTTATAAGTGGGAAAACTTTAGGCAGAGAAAGGTCAGTGAATCTGCACCCATTTTGCAGCTAAACTGGCTTGTAGGCTCCCGCCTTCCGGGCCTCATACCTTCTTTTGTCAAAAGGCAGTCTCCTCCCACAGAGGACAGGAGGAAGCAATGAGAGAGGAGGGAAATGCCTAATGCCGCCAGGGGGAAGTGTTTGGTGAAGGTGGTCTGTGAGCCCCTGTGCCTTCTGAGTGACAATGAGGGGACAGCTTAGACAGGTCACTCTATCACCTGAGGCTTCACAGCAAACAGGGCCAGAGGTGGAGCTTGAGGTGGAGACCTGTCAAGTCTCAAGGCTTTCCCATGCATCCTAACGACAGGAGGCAGCCCCTCCATTCCTACCTGGCCACAGAGAACAATTATGCTCACTCTCTCCTATCGCCTGTTCCTCCACCCATTTCTCTCCAGGGCCTCACTATGTGTCTCAGAGTAGCCTCAAACTTGCAGCAATCCTCCTGCCTCACCCTCTCAAGTGTTGGGATCACAGGTGTGAGCCCATGGCCAGCATGCAGTTCCTCACATTTAATGTCACAGTCACTCCGTGAGGCAGATGCTCTCACTCCTGCTTGACAGATAAAGAAACAGAGGCACAGAAGGGTTACGTAACTTGCCCAAGGGTGGTCAGCCAATGAGGTGTTGGTGGGTGGCAGGGCACTGCTTGTCACTGTCCACCAACTGCTGACCACCTGGGAGAATTCAGGGGATTAATTAGAGCTCCTGTCACCCTCTGAAGCTTCCTCGGCAGTGTGGGGCATCCATTCGAGCTGGCTCCTTCAAGTCCAAGTTCTTCACATCAGCAACAAGAGGGTTCTGGAGTGTGTGTGCACGTGTGTGTTCACATGTGTGCATGTGTGTGGTGTTGGAGATTGAACCGAGGGTATCAGATACACACATGCTCACACACACTACCATATGCTGCCCACCCAGGCTCTTCAATGTGCAAGCACTATGTCACAGACCCCCTCCTGCACCTCTCGCCATTCTGTCCATCTGCCTCCTTAGCTTGGGCCTCCCCCGACCCCCATGGTCCAGCCTGGCTCTCCACACCTCCTTTTCCTCTGTTAGCCCGACCTAACCCGCCTGCTCCCTTCCTGATCTTCCTGCCTCCCAGCTCACTCATTCATCTAACAAATACATGTGATTGGCACCGGGGGCGAGCAAGCCTGAGAAGGAAGGACTTGCCTCCAAGGAGCTGAGGGGTGTGTGCGTTGGGGGGGGACAAATGGTGAAAAAAATGAGTAAGATAGTGCCTAAATGTGAGAAGCAGCAGAGGGAGATAAACGGGATGGAGTGTGTGTGTGTGTGTGTGTGTGTGTGTGTCTGTGTGTGCAACATGCATGTGCAACTTTATTCAGATGGCCAGGGAGGGTCTTTCTGAGCAGGTGACATTTGAGTGGAGTCCAGTCGTGCTGCAGTGTGGGAGAAACTGAACTTAAGGCAATGGGAACAGTATTCCTGGGCAGAAGGAAAGCCCAGTGCATTGGACGGAATGAACCTGTTCACTCTAGTCTCTGCTGCTCTTGTGAGCTGGGAGGCCATCCTCACTGCAGGCTTCCTGGCCTCCCCTCCCCCCCTCCTTCCTCCCTTTGCCCTCCCACCCCAAGCCAGCACATGTTCTCCTGTTTTTCCTCACTCAAGTCTCTGATGTCTTGGTTGGCTTCCTCCTTGGACCCGGGACACCTACTCGACTGAGGCCTTCCCACTGAGGGTCCATGTCTAGCCTAGTGCCTCCTAGCTCCCAACCAAAATTTCTGGAAAACCTGCCACAGCAAGCCCTGGTCAACACCAGCTCCACCAGCTATGGCACCTCTGGCATCTCTGGCAAGTCTGTCTTTTTTCCTGCAGCCCTCGGGTAATTCCAACATCAATTAGGTGTCATCCAAGGGGCTTATGTGATGTTCCAGAGAAACTCAGAAGTCACCTGGGCATAGCAACCACACAGCACTGCTGTGCTTAGGCACCATGGATTCATCAACTTTTAATTCTCCAAATAATTCTGTGGAACAAGGGAATACCATTACACTCAAATTACACATGAAGAGTCTGGGGCTGGGGTGCAGTCCAATGACATAGTACCTGCCTGGTGTATTCCATGCGCTCAGTTCAGTCCCAGCACCACACACACACACACACACACACACACACACACACACACACAGATATATACATACACACAGTTATATACATACACACAGACAGACACATATACACATACAGAGACAGGAACACACACAAACACACACACAGATACACACATGTACATACACACATACAAAGACAGGCACAGACACACACACACAGATACATGCACAAACATATACACACAGACACAGATGCACACACACATAGATACACAGATACTTATACTCATACACACATAGATACACAGATACGCACATACACAGTCACAGATGCACAAACACACACACATACACACTACAGAAAACAAACAAAAGCCACCCGCCACCACCATCAAAACACCCTGACTTCTAGACAGGTTAAGTAACTTGCCCAAGGTCACACATGAAGTAACTAAGTTAGGACATAAGCCCAGACAATCTGACTTCCAAGTGTGAGCCCTCAGCCTCCATAGGATAAACAGATTTGAAAACTCCTTGGGAAGACTATGGAGCCCCGGCAGGACAACCAGTCTCTCAGCTAGCGTCCCTGAGGCCCCTTTACCACGTCCTCATCAGGGCTGCTGAGCCTCTCCTGCCTTCCCATAGCTTGGCTTGCAACTCTGGCAGACTCTTGCACTCCAGACATCTGGAGCGCCTACCCAGCCCTCTCCACCGGCACCCTCCCAAACCTCCACTTTCCCTAAGCTGTGACTAACAACCAAGCCGCCGCCAGCACCCACCCGGCCCCTCAGCCCCAGCCCTCCACGGCACCCACCCGGCCCCTCAGCCCCAGCCCTCCACGGCATTTGCCTCCTGCGTCAGCCACCTGGCTTCTCCCCACAGTCCTGGCCACAGGTTTCCTCACCTCGGGGCAGGGAGCCCTGACTCAGAGGACTCCCCACTCTCCTCTCCCTCTCCCTCCAATTTTACCACAGTCCCGCCCCTACTCCATCACATGTCTCTAGGTTTGGGTATCATGGAACATTCTTAGCAGCTGGGGATCTGAGTTCAAATTCTGTTTTCTTCCTTGCTTAGCTGTGTGGAGGGGGAAATTCTTCAAAACCTCTGGGCTTTGATTTTCCCAAATATTAGACAAGGCAGACTCCCTGTCTACCTTACTAGGAAGTTGGTTGGAATTTAATGGGATTGCCATGACAACCTGCTTTGCAAACTGCACCTGGAGGGGAGTTTAGATACTGATACTGCTGATCTGGGTTTGAATCCTGTCTTTTTCTAGCTATGTAACTTGGGCCAAGTTCCTTAACGTCTCTGAGCCTCTGCTTCCTTTTCTGTGGGATGAGCTCATGCTAACGCCAGCCTCATAGGATTGCCGGTAATCAGAGGTGATTTCCTATAAAACACGCAGAATAGAGTTGCCATTGCTACTATCCTTTCCCCACGCAGTAAATAATCCTTCCTATCCCCTCCCTCTACCGTCAGCTCCTCCATTCTTCCGACACTTCCCACCTGCCCCCACAAGCAGTCCCTGTGTCTCCTGTGAACTGGGGTCCCCAACTCCAAGTCCAGCCTTTAGAGAATCTCTCACAACAGAGCTCTTTGCCTCCACTCCCAAACTTGTATTTCAAAGGCAGAGAGCTGTAGCCCCATGTCAGTTCAGCAGCCCCTGAGCCATTTGACCTGCACTACATATGCACTTTCTTGATGACCTTGGGGCAGTCCCTTCCCATCCCTGGACCTCAGTTTCCTCACCTGCCAGATGGAATAACCATCTATGGGAATTCTGGCATAACCCACTCAGGACCCAGTGGCCACCATCACACAGCAGACTGGTACCTCAACCTCTTTGGGCCCATGTCATTCTCCAAATGTTTCAGTGCCCCCCCACCCCGGAAACCCTTCTCATCAGGCCGCTGCAGTCCCTCCAAAGAGCAGGTTCCCCTGCAACCTCCTGACCTATCCTCGCCCAGCTCTGCCGGCCAGCCTCCCGGAGCCTGGGCCCTGGCTGCCAGCAGCTGCCCCTGGCTGCTCCCATGCCCCAGTTCCCCCAAGCACTATGTGGCCTATGTCACACAACCCAATTCGGTGACCTGGTGGGTAGATCTTTCTCTCCTCTCCCACCTTTGGGGTCACCTCAGCGGAGTCTCTGGCCCCGGGGAGCTCAGCCCCCCCCTGCACTCCCCCTGAGCAGTGCCCTCTCCCCACGGAGCAACACACCAGTGCGCTTGCGTGCACACACATCACGAACACCACCACACACTTCATTCACTGCTAGGAGCTGGTATCTAGCCCCAACCTGTGTCCTCCATAGCATACCAAATCTGGGTCCTACTGGGCCCGGCCAGGCCAGTAACCATCTGCATCGGACCAATTTGATAAGCCAGCTCCAGGGAGAATGGTGTTCCTCGATCCTCTCTTGACATTCACTCTTTCCCATCCCCAGGTCAGATCCCAGGGCCCTCCTGGGCATCTGGGCTGCCCAGGCCCCTGAGACCTCTCCTGCCCCCTTGTGTCTTAATGGCCTTCAACTCCTTCCAGCCACTGTCCTCCAATTGCAGGTTCACTGGAGATATCAGGTGCCAGGGGATGTTAGGGTTCCTGACTTCCAACCTCTAGCCTTATCATTTGCCCCCCATGCCCCAGAATCTCCGCCACTCCATCCCCACGCACTCCCCAAATACAGGGTCCCGCCTCCCCACCTCTCCCACCCCCTAGCTCACACTCCGCAGCTCCTGAGTCCGATCCTTCATCCTGCGACGGGCTCCTCCTCCCCTTCTTCGTCCTCCCGCCTCCGCTGCTTCTTTCTGCCTCCTGCCTCTGTGCTGGAGGCCGGGGTCTGGGGGCACCGTGCGGACTAGACCTCCGAGGGATGTGCGGGTAAGGTGCGCGGCGGGGGGGCGAGGAGCTGAGGCCAGGCAGAGACAGGGGCCTGGGCCGACTGGGCTCTGCCTGGGCTGCGGTGGCGATGCGGCTGCGGCACAGGGTTGGATGGAGGGATGCGGGAGCCGAGGCGCGGGGGAGGGGGGCGGAGGGAGGTGAGGAAGAAGGGACGGGAGGGGGAGCAGGAGGGGGCGGGGAGCAGGGGGCATGCGCAGCGCCCCGGGCTGGGGGCGCCTGGGGGTTGTAGTCCAGGGAGGGGCACCCACGGGAGGGGCACAGGGGAGGCTCAGAAGTGCGGGGGGGGGGGAGGGAGAACAGAGCCCAAGAATCAGGGAGAGATGCAAAGGCAGGGACAAGGATGCTGGGTGAACGGCTGTTGGGGTGGACCAGCAGTCTAAGGCAGTGAATTACGGGAATAACCTGAGAGAGGTAGAGTGTATGTACGGGTGTCTCCATGAGCCTACACCGGGCCACTTTTATCCTGACCCTTCGGCTCTGCAGGAGGCTCTTTGGACTAGAAATAACAGCCCTGACCCTGTGTGTGGCTATTGCTTGCTGAGAAGGACATACTTTCTCTGTACATCCTTCGTCACCCTACGTGGGAGTGCCCTGGTGCTGGTGGGTTTCAGCTTGTCCACCAAGAAGAACAGGGTGGTCACTACCTGCTGAGACCTTCTGGCCTGGCATTTTAGATGGCTCTGTTACAAATGGCATTCATCCTGTCCTAGGATGAGTCTCAGTGGTACATGCTTGCCTAGCGTGCCTGCAAGGCCCCGGATTCTACCCCTAACGCCAGGGGTGTGTATGTGTGGGGGGTTGTAGAAGAAAGGAAAATCTCTGCTGAATCTTGCAATCTTGAATCTGCAGAAGGCCCAGTGAGCCCTCCACCCTCCCCTCTTCCTCTCTCCATCCCATCCCTTAAGAACACATGAATTCTTCCTCTCCTTTGCAGTGAGCTTTGGACTGTCAGTGGAGTGGCCTTTGTCCTTGTTTTTGCCAAGTAACTACCCTGAGACACAATTTGTCTGTGTCATGGCTGGACCTAACATCCATGACCTTCAACAGCTCCTAAAGCCAGTGGCTTTCTTGTGAAAACCCCCCTTCCTGTGTCCTTGCCTGCCTCCTGTTCCCCGCCACAGCCTCCAGGCTCCTCCTCTGCCCCATGACCCTCAGTCAAGGTTCCTGGGTATCATGCTAGGATCTCATCTTCTTTTTTAACCCTTTGACTTCACGTACACATGTGTGTGCAGGTATGCTCACATGTACATGTGTACACATGCAGGCAGAAGTCAGGGCTGGATGGCGTCTGTTTCTCTCTGCTTTACTTTTAGTTTTTGAGACAGGATCTTGCACTGACCCTGCAGCTTTCCATTTTAGATGTACTTATTGACCGAGAGCCCCTGGAGCCTTCCTGTTTCCGCCACCCCTCCTGGGGGGGGGGTCTTACAGGGTTATAGATGTGTGCTGTCATGCACAGCTTTCATGTGGATTCTGGGCATCGGAACTCAGGTACACACCGTCCACTGAGCCCAGGTTCTCATCTCGCTCCTTTCTGTGCCTTTATGCCTGGGGCACCTACACCTGTGCACCGAGCCCTTCTCGGAGGAAAGCCCTACCATAGCCTGAGTCCAAGAGCAAAGACACAAAAAAATAATAAAAATTAAAAAACCAAACGTACAATCGGAGATGTCAGAGAGCAAGGCTAGCACTGTGGCGAGGGAACCCCAAACAGGGTCAGCTTTGGCTACTAAGTGCTTCTTCCTGTTCTCCATCAAAGGATCCAGCTACTCCCTCCCCACCACAGGGCTGCTGCTATGAGTATCCACCATGTCCAACTCACCACATGGCAACTCACCAGCCTCCTAGCCACTCCCCCTAGCCCAAGTGTACAGATCAGCAAACTAGGGCTTCGAAGAACTAAGTAGTGTGTCCAGTGTTACAAGGCAGAGCTCTCTCTGACAGTTTCTCCCTCCTGACGCTGGAGATCAAAGTTGGCTTGTCACATGCCGGCTAAATTCTCTACAGTGAGCTTCATCTCAGCCCTGGTTTGCCACACCCGAACTATCCCCACCACCTCAGATCAGTCTGAAGTCTCACCACCTTCCTTTCACCTGAATCATCAGGGTCACTTCCTCAATGTTCTTCCCTCTTGAAGGCCCTTTCCTTTATGCCCCTCCTCCTCCCTGGATTCTGATATGGTTGTCTCCAAGCTGTGTGAGTATGCTACCTGCAGTACCACCACCTCCCACATCCCATGGCTTTCAGGATTGCCCTCAGAAGCTAATCTAAGGCCTGGCATGGTGGTGTGTACCTGCAAGCCTAGGACTCAGGAAGCAGAGACAGGAAGATGTCGAGTTGGAAGCCAGCCTGGTTATGCGGTGGAACTTTAATTCAGAATGACGAATGGGCAGTTAAGAGCACAGGGTGTTCATACAGAGGTGTTCTTCAGATTTCAGCACCCCCATGGCACTGACAACTGCCTGTCGCTCCTGTCCCAATGGCTATGACGCCCTCTTCTGGCCTCCACAGGCACCGCTCCCAGGTGGTGCCTTGACACACACAGGTGAAACACTCACACTTAAATACAAATCTTTAGGAGCTGGAAAGATGGATCAACAGCTAAGAACTGTTCTTGCCGTGGACCCCAGCTCAGTTCCCAGTACCCACGTGTCACTCAACCATCTGTGACTCTGGTTCCAGAGGGGTTGGTGCCCTCTTCTGGCCTCCTCAAGCACCAGGGACACGTGTAGTACATATACATTCATGCAGACAAAATACTGTTAGATAAAAGTCTCTAAAACAAACAAAAGCCTCCTCTGCCATTTGACTACATCAACCTCACCCCCTTTCCCCATCACCTCCCTTCATCCAAGACATCATAACCTCGACTAATCGAGCCTCTTGCTGTGGGCGGGGCTGTGTGTGGCGTAGCACTGAGTCCTTTGTGTGACAGTCACACATTGATTCTACCTCTTAGTTAGAGTCTTATTGCTGTGAAGAGACACCATCACCAGGCATTTCTTTTTTTTTTCTTTTTTTTTTTGGTTTTTTTCGAGACAGGGTTTCTCTGTATTGTTTTGGAGGCTGTCCTGGAACTCGCTCTGTAGACCAGGCTGGCCTCAAACTCACAGAGATCCGCCTGCCTCTGCCTCCCGAGTGCTGGGCAGGCATTTCTTATAAGGGAAAATATTTACTTGGGGCTGGCTTACGGTTCAGAGGTTTAGTCCATTGTCATCATGGTGGGAAGCATGGCAGTGAGCAGGCAGACGTGGTGCAGGAGAGGAGCTCAGAGTTCTACATCTGGATCACCAGGCAGCAGGAGACTATCACACACTGGCCTGTCCCAATAGTGACACACTTACTCCAACAAGGCCACACCTACTCTGACAAGGCCACACCTCTGAATACTGTCACTCCCTATGGACCAAATGCCCTAGCCAGCAGGGCACAACCACGGTTAGCCCACGGGAGCCTGGAATGACAGGACAAGAGACATAGAAATGGACAGCAAGACAACATGGCTGATCAAGCTGTGATATTTATTTTTCTCAGGCCCGTTATATAGTGGTTATTGCGGGAAACTAGGTAGGGCAGAGTAATCAAAGGAGAGGGGTTGATGCCTAGTAACCAGGCCACTGAAGGTGAGCAGACAGCAGGTCTTGGCAAGGTGAAAGGGTCCAGAAGGAGGAGTTAGTGATCTAATTGTGGAATGTTTCCTTTTTTGCCATCACAAGTATTCAACACACGAGTCTGTGGGGGCCATTTCTATTCAAGCCACCACATCCTGTGAGGCCAGGTTCCAGCCTCCTGCCAGGGTAGCACAGGCCTAATTGCTGACTACGTTTTCCCAGGATCTGACACAAGCCAAGCACAAAGTAGACACTCCAGAAATCTGAATAAGAGGCATGTTGACTCACACCTTTACCCATGTACAAAGACAAAGGAAATAAGCCTAACAAAGTTAGTGATTTTGTCTATTGTGCTTATTGCTAATTTCCCGTGGTTTTGTGGACCCTTGAACACGGTGAGTACACCATGTTTGTTAAGGCGATGAGTGAGTAAATAGAGTGAGTGGACATGGCTCACACAGAGGATATGATGAACTTTTTTATTTATGTGGTGCTGGTGATTGAACCTGGAACCTTGGGTATGAGAAAAAGCATTGAGCTACATTTCCAGTCTTCATTTTTTTAAAAGATTTTATTTATTTATTACATATACACCAGATTGAATTGTAGATGGTTGTCAGCCACCATGTGGTTGCTGGGAATTGAACTCAAGACCTCTGGAAGAGCAGTCAGTGCTCTTAACCTCTGAGCCATCTCTCCAGCCCCCAGTCTTCATTTTGAAAGATGATGATGATGATGATGATGATGATGATGATTATCTGAGACAGGCTCTCATTATGTAGCGTTGGCTGGCTTGGGACTTGTTATGTAGACCAGGCTAGCCTCAATCTTACAAAGATCCACTTGTCCAAAATCATGTGCCACCTTACCTGGCCAAGATTTATTATTATTTTTAATATGTATGTATGTGTATGTGTGTGTGTGTGGGGGGTTCATGTGTATGAATGCAGTGCCTATGGAGGCCAGAGGTGTTGAATCCTCTAGAGCTGCAGTTGTAGGCAGCTGTGAGCTGCCCAGCATGGGTGCTTGCCCAAACTCAGAGCCTCTGCAAGTGCAGTATGCTCTCTCAACTGCTAAGCTGTCTCTCTAGCCCCTCCTTTTACATTTTAAAACATATTTATTTTATATGTTTCAGTCACATGTATGTCCGTGCACTACATGTGTGCCTGGTGCCCATGGAGGTCAGAAGAGGGCATCAGATCCCCTGAAACTGGAGTTACAGACGGTTTTAGCCACCATGTGGGTGCTGAACCTGGGTCCTCTGCAAGAGCAGCCGGTGCTCTTATCTGCTGAGCCATCTCTCCAGTGCCTCCTTTGAATTTTCTATTTTGAGATAGAATATTGCTAACTTGCTCAGGCTGACTGAACTTTCTGTTCTGCTGTAGCTTCCCAAGTTGCTGTATTTGAAGGTATGCACCAGGGCCAGCAAGGTGGCTCAGGCGGAGGGACTTGCTGCCACCTACGATCTGAATTCAGTCCTTGGAATCCATGGTGCAGGGACAGA